CAGAGATGTAAGTACCACTCTACACTCAAAGGAACGACAAGAATCGTACGTCAGGCAATGGTCAGAGATGCGAGTACCACTCTACACTCAGAGAAAAGACAAGAATCGTACGTCAGGCAATGGTCAGAGATGCGAGTACCACTCTACACTCAGAGAAAAGACAAGAATCGTGCGTCAGGCAATGGTCAGAGATGTGAGTACCACTCTACACTCAAAGGAACGACAAGAATCGTACGTCAGGCAATGATCAGAGATGTGAGTACCACTCTACACTCAGAGAAAAGACAATAATCGTGCGTCAGGCAATGGTCAGAGATGTGAGTACCACTCTACACTCAGAGAAAAGACAAGAATCGTGCGACAGGCAATGGTCAGAGATGCGAGTACCACTCTACACTCAGAGAAAAGACAAGAATCGTACGTCAGGCAATGGTCAGAGATGCGAGTACCACTCTACACTCAGAGAAAAGACAAGAATCGTGCGTCAGGTAATGGTCAGAGATGTGAGTACCACTCTACACTCAGAGAAAAGACAAGAATCGTGCGTCAGGCAATGGTCAGAGATGTGAGTACCACTCTACACTCAAAGGAACGACAAGAATCGTGCGACAGGCAATGGTCAGAGATGCGAGTACCACTCTACACTCAGAGAAAAGACAAGAATCGTGCGTCAGGCAATGGTCAGAGATGCGAGTACCACTCTACACTCAAAGGAACGACAAGAATCGTGCGTCAGGTAATGGTCAGAGATGTGAGTACCACTCTACACTCAGAGAAAAGACAAGAATCGTGCGTCAGGCAATGGTCAGAGATGTGAGTACCACTCTACACTCAAAGGAACGACAAGAATCGTGCGACAGGCAATGGTCAGAGATGCGAGTACCACTCTACACTCAGAGAAAAGACAAGAATCGTGCGTCAGGCAATGGTCAGAGATGTGAGTACCACTCTACACTCAAAGGAACGACAAGAATCGTACGTCAGGCAATGGTCAGAGATGCGAGTACCACTCTACACTCAGAGAAAAGACAAGAATCGTACGTCAGGCAATGGTCAGAGATGCGAGTACCACTCTACACTCAGAGAAAAGACAAGAATCGTGCGTCAGGCAATGGTCAGAGATGTGAGTACCACTCTACACTCAAAGGAACGACAAGAAGAACGTTCTCAAACTGTTACTGACATCACTGGAAATGGAATTCTTCTTAAGTTGGGGATGGAGCGCTTACAGGAGTGTCACAAGTTTTGTAATGTCTGTTCTGGACTAAACTCAACTTATGCAATCTGCATATCTGTAACACACATTTTAGCACCATATCTTCTCATCAAGAACCAATAAATGTCCTTTCAGAGGATGAAAGAGAGATACATTGTACACACAAATCCTATTTTCATTACTATAAACCTCCTTTGTATTTTTCATGTCTTCCATACCACAGGGAATTCTGGGATATTGTGTTTCCACAATATAGTGTTTTTATTTTGAAAATGTATTAAGTTCTGTGAGCCTTCCAATTTAATTTGATTTGATTTGATTCAAGAACCGACATTACAGCACTCAGATCATTCCCATAAGTGCTCCCTCTCCATCTTCAGCAGCCAGGGAAGAGTTCTGATACTAATAGTGCCAGTAGCATTCTGATTAAACATCCCTCTTGCCTTTCCTCTGAGCCTCGAGCATCTGCTAGAACCTCTCGTCACTACCCCCTGCATCAATCTCACTAGACTGTGGTGATCCATCTGCTCCTCCGAACTGTACAAGCTCTCTCACAAGGCACTAACCACGTCGGCCTTATCATTCATCAGTATTCCACCAAGTTGTGCAGAGCCAGCCAATGTGTCCAGTGAAAAAAATCCAGACAATACTCCTCACCCGTGTCCTCCGCAGCGAAACATGCCACTCTGCACGAAGCATACCTGTCCAGATCTTCTTCAGCATGCTCTCTGAGTCAGTTACAATCACGATGTGTGCGTATGTGTGTGTGTGTCGTGTTCTATAACCAGCGGAAAGCTGCAGTGACCGCCTTCAACTCCATTCTTTAGCTTTTAGGAGAAACGGTTTTATAATTTTTGAACGCACTACTTACCTTAGAGACAAAGGTTGGACAGACAGAAAACATCGGGGACAGGGAAGGGATTGGGGGAGGGGAGGGGGGCGGGAGGGGAGATAGAAAATGTCTGGAGGTACGGCTTAATGGTTCCAGTGTTTCTTAATTAGAGATAAATGAAAACGTATCATATAAACACCCCCCCCCCCCACCCCTGGTCACCTCATATTTCTCCCTTCCCTCTTGGCTGTCGCCACATCTCTGAGTTTGCTTGTGCCTCTGTTCAGTTTTTGTTATCTACCTACCGACCAACTTATCTATGAGTAAGTCCTTTTCTAGAAGCAGTATTCATGAAGCCAGCACCCAACCAGCCATTCGTTGTTAATCAAGCGTTAGTAGCAGCTATGACGAACAAATTCATGTTCTGCTTTCCTTGTGTAGCCACAGTTATAAGTTTCATTAATTCTGGACAAATTCACAGACAATCGCGCTAAGGCTGAAACTAGGAATCGACTTCTCATCTCCACTTAACAGTAAGAGAAGAATACTCATCCTCTTTGTCGAGACCACGTCTGCATCATAGGCGCTATAGCCTAGGCCCCTCTCTTCTCAACAGTGAGGGAAGTGACAACCCCCCCCCCCCCCACACACACACACATACTTGTTTAGACTACTCTGTTTCAGCCTGAGTCTAGACATTTCATATAATTTCAAACATATTACTTTTATTTGCTATTCCGCACACATCTTGAAATGTGAGCAAAGGCATTAAGCAGAGTTTGGAGGCAACTGATATGTAGTTCTTGAGGCGTTCGCAAATACCTGAATAACTAACAATGATTTCATAGAAATGGCTAATGAGTGTAGAATATTATATACACCGGGAGGGCTAACCCGGTCAACCAATGCCCGCAGAAGTCAGATGTGTTGGCCGAAAGGTGCAAATATCGCAGCCATGCTGTAAACGGACACAACGCAATTACATCTTCGGATGAACGCTGAAGAAGAAGAACATGATATACAACAATGAGAAGGAGACAAACAACGTTCTTTGGTCCTGTGATGAGAAAAGAAGCACTGGACAATATGGTGACGACTGAAATGATCACTGGTAGAAGAGGCAGACCAAGATAAATGATAATGGATGGCTTAAGAAAGTGGCATGGAGGAATATCAATAGTGGAATTGATCCAGGACACCAAAGACGGAGGTCTGTAGCGATGCATGAACGCCTACGCCAGCTGTTGATGATTCAACCCATGATAGTAATGATGTTAACAATAATAAAATTAATTCAGCATTCTGAGCCCTTGAGGTTCTTTGCTGCAGATATCACCAGTGTCCATTTATCTTTCTGGTTGGCCTTTCCTTTCCAGTTAGTGACACCAAGTGTTTGTAGGTCTGTCTGAATATTATCTCTTTATCATCTTTTTGGTCTGCCTTATGGTCTACGATAGATCCGTTCATTAGTGTATACTGCCATCCGGCGTTCTCTCTGTATGCCCCAGCCACTTCAGTCTATTATCTATTCTGACGCCAGTGATGAACTGTGATTCAAACATTATATATTTGGTTGTTGCTTCTCACTCTCCATTCCCTGCTGTTTGCAATTTTAATGGGTCCAAAGATTGGTCGTAAGACTCCTGCTTTCGAAAAGGTGTAATAAGGTTTCATCTCTTTTAGTCGTGCTCAAAGTTTCAGAGCCAAATAAAATAACTGGTCTTATCAACGTTTTATATATTTTGATCTTGGTGTTGCTAGATAGATACTTTGACTTTTGCATGTTGGACAATAATAACAATTAGAATACTTTTATTATAAGCAATTCAACAAGGCTTAAGCTCCCCCAGTTTGCTTTTTATTGTGATGTATTTATCGTTAATTTGGAGTCTCGGGGCATCGGCTGGATCAATGCTATTGCTCAGAGGGCATCATAAAACAGCTGTCTTGTCTGGGTTGAAGACAGCACACATCTTCGCACACAAGTCAGTCATGTTGTCTGCTGTTGGTTGTAAATCTCGGGCTGTCAGTTGCCTATCGCTCCCACGCCTATATGCAAGAAGATCTTCTGCACATGTCATTATCCTTGCAACATCTGATATTTTGAGTTCCGCTATATATATATTTATTGAAGAGCAGTGGTGACATTGCAAAACCCTGTCGTAGTCTTGATAACTGCAGTCAATGAGACAGAAGGGTGTAGACTAGAGATAAATGATTACTGATGCCCAACTGCAAGGATTTCAAGACTGGTAGTAATGAAAACAGAAAGGTATGTAGAGGGATGACTACCAATGTCTCAAGGCACAGATTGGAAGATTGGCAGTAAATGAGGCAGGGCGCAGATTATAAGAATGTAAGAAAAGGAGGCAGAAGGATGTGGAGACAGACGACGACTGACGCCACAGGGCGCAGATTATAAGAATAACAGTAAATGAGACAGAAAGGCGTGGACTGGCATAGTCTCAGAAGAAACAGGAAGAGAAGACATCTTATGGTGCGTTCAAATCCGGGCAAGCCAGCATGAGTTGCACCATGACGACGTCACAATCGTGTCGTTACTGCAGTTCAAGATGGTGCCTGCAGCCGATCCATTGCAAGCCAACACTTCAACCGTCACCCTCCAACACATTCTGTAAACGCCGGTGTTTCTGTAAGCACGTCCTAGGGCTGTACGTTTCACCTGCATCTTGTACTGTCCTTCCCAAGATTTGACCTGCAACAGAAACCAGGCAAGATTGTCTTTGTTGTTTATTGTCGCGGCAGTTTGTCACCATGCCGCCGTTTGCCCCAGCCATTTTGAAAAGAATTAGACCCGATCCTTTTCTGTCTTGCCCAAGAGTGTCAGAGCTAGAGGAAACCGTTTTCAACACATTTCTATCGGAACAGAATGTTTCACTTGTGATGTTCTACGACCCAAATTGCCCGGAATGCCAAAGATCAAAACCACATTTTGTCAAAGCTGCAAGAACAGCAGACAAGGAGGCAGGAAGCTTCGCTGCTGTCAACTGTAGCAAGAACCCAGATCTGTGTCGACAAGAGGGCGCCTACCGACGTAAACTGCCAGTGTTCAAACTCTACGCCAGAGGACAATATGTCAGTGACCACGAAAATGTCCTAGACTACCATTCGTTCAAAAAAGTTGTGGAGAACACACCCTTTTTCCCGCGCCCAAAGCCTAGACACTCAGGCCCACCAGTAATCGAGCACCAATAAATGCAGGTAAGTCAACAAACACGTCGCCCTGACTGAACACATCGGTTGTTATTATCGATCCTGAACGCAGGAGGGGTTGGCAGAATGCCATAAAGTGACAAGTTTGTGTTGGTAAGATTTGTGTTTCCTTCGTTTCATGTGCTCCCTCTGTGTGAAGCTATAGTCCGTTCAAGAAGTTACGCCTAGTTAAAAGAAGAAAAAAAATCTTTACTCCGCAATCGTTTGGTGTAAGTTGTTAATTGTGGCATGAACTTGTTAATAATCATGTCCATGTTATTTAAATTTGTTCAATGTAAGCAAACATCTAGATTTCATTTTTTGCCTTATTTAATCAATGCGGGGGGGGGGGGGGGGGGGACAGACGCTGATTTAAAGCAGATAATCAGCACGCTTACAGTTATTTGAGCTTCTGGAACTTTTCAAAACACCGGTTTCATGAACTTCGTAGGCGTGATTCTCTCAGGTGGTCATCTCCAGCATTTGTCTTCCGTGAACACAATTTTACATTCTACACCGGAAATGCTATCAAAATAATCACTACGCACAGCTGCACATGTAAACGATTTCTAATCTCCGTACGTGTCAGTTACTGGATATTCTATTTTTAAAAATTATAAGTCAAGCAACGATCCAAGAAATTTGACACTTTAAGAAAAAAGAAAAAAAGGCACCTGTGCTATCTTAAATTCCTAAAATCAAAGAAACATGGGAAGTCTTAGCCGCATGCAAACATTCGCGTTGATCCGTACAGTTTTCATGTTATTTGTTTAAGATGTGAGGGCACGAATTTTCGAAACGCAGTATAGCTGTCTGGACAGCAAGCTCCCCGCGTGGGTTCCGGGGTCAGTTGCGTAGGAGGAGAGAGAATAGACCCACTGCCCCAAGCATGTCGTATACAGCGATAAATCAGGGGAATTTCCTTCAAAGTCGTATATCTGCCTGAGAAGTAAGAGACCAAAATCTCTTTTAAATAAGCTAGATATTTCAAACGGATGCGCACTTACATCACACGTGAAATAAGTCCAAATTCCAGAAATGGACGAACAATCAGAACTACCCCTGAAGTTTAGATCTGGTGAACGCTAAAAAGAAGACAGACGGCAATCTAAAAGGTCAAATCTGCCCATTTCAACCTCTATAGAATTTTAAATTGGGGCACTCATAACGGCCATACAAGCCAGGTGTAACCCGGGGGTCTATGTAGTAAGAATGTGGTGTTCCATTCTTTGCTGACGGAAAGAATAACGCTTTTCTGGCCTCGTCTAGTGTATGCCCTGGAGCACAGTGTTTGAAATCTCAAATCTCCTGTGTCAGTAGAAAGCATCTTTGGCAGTTAGGTTGTGAAGGGACTCTCTTTGACAATCTTCAGGGAGGTTTTCCTTCCCTTCTCCAAACACATACCAGTTAGTTATGCAAGACGGCTACTAGAACTTCTTCTTCTTCTTCTTCTTCTTCTTCTTCTTCTTCTTCTTCTTCTTCTTCTTCTTCTTCTTCTTCTTCTTCTTCTTCTTCTTCTTCTTCTTCTTCTTCTTCTTCTTCTTCTTCTTCTTCTTCTTCTTCTTCACTTCCTCTTTTACCGCTGTGGGTGTCGAGGGAGATATAAGGTTCTGTTTCTAGCTCTTCTGGCTGCCTCGACCATAGGCACATCGTACTGTTGTAGAGTTTCTCTGATGTTATCCTTCCATCTTGTTCTTGGTCTACCCCGTGCTCTACGTCCTTCTTCTCTTCCCATGTATGCTTTGTATGGTATGGTGTCACAAGGCATTCTCTCTAAGTGGGCAAACCATTTCACTTGCTGTCTTTGTATGTAATCCAGAATTGGTTCTGTGCCGACTTGTTCTCTTATGATCTCATTTCTGATCTTATCTCTTATGGTCACTCCTACAGCCCTTCTCAGACATCTCATTTCCGTGGTTACTAATACTAGAACTTCGCATCTATAAATACACAGCAATATAAAGGTGCGCCTATGTCACTATTCAACACAAGACACTGGCTTAGATTATGTCTTGACGCGTACTATTTCTGGGACATGTTTCGTGTATTTCACTGTTAACAAAGTCCAACCTAGCGATCAGAGGAAGAATCATCTAAAAGTGGAACGGTCAGTGAAGTGGTGTTTGCAGTTTCATGAGGTACAAGACACACTGTGGCTGGGGGTGTGTTTTGTTATAAGGACATGTGCAAAGAACAAGTGAAAGTGCTTTATAGTTGCGATTTGTGCTCTCATGAAGACTTGTACAAACACAGCTGACATTGGTTTGTGGTTGGGTGAGTCCTCCGTGAGGACGTGTACAAACACAATTGACAATGGCTTGTGGTTGGTGTGTGGCCTCCGTCGGGACGTGTACAAACACAATTGACAGTGGCTTGTGGTTGGGTGTGTTCTCCGTGGGGACGTGTACAAACACAATTGACAGTGGCTTGTGGTTGGTGTGTGGCTTCCCTGAGGACATGTACAAACACAATTGACAATGGCTTCTGGTTGGTGTGTGGCCTCCGTGAGGACGTGTACAAACACAACTGACAGTGGCTTGTGGTCGGCGTGTGGCCTCCGTGAGGACGTGTACAAACACAATTGACAATGGCTTGTGGTTGGTGTGTGTTCTCCGTGGGGTCGTGTACAAACACAACTGACAGTGGCTTGTGGTTGGCGTGTGGCCTCCGTGAGGACGTGTACAAACACAATTGACAATGGCTTGTGGTTGGTGTGTGTTCTCCGTGGGGACATGTACAAACACAATTGACAGTGGCTTGTGGTTGGTGTGTGTTCTCCGTGGGGTCGTGTACAAACACAACTGACAGTGGCTTGTGGTTGGCGTGTGGCCTCCGTGAGGACGTGTACAAACACAATTGACAATGGCTTGTGGTTGGTGTGTGTTCTCCGTGGGGACATGTACAAACACAACTGAGAGTGGCTTGTGGTTGGTGTTTGTCCTCGTGAGGACGTGTACAAACACAATTGGCAGTGGCTTGTGGTTGGTGTGTGTTTTCCGTGAGGACATGTACAAACACTACTGACAGTGGCTTGTGGTTGGTGTTTGTCCTCGTGAGGACGTGTACAAACACAATTGACAGTGGCTTGTGGTTGGTGTGTGGCCTCCGTAAGGACATGTGCAGAGCAAATTTGACACCTTCTTAGTTTGGTAGTTCCATTCATAGGCTCAGAGACTTCCCATTCCTATTTATATATTATATACTCTGTGAATCTTCTTCTTGTTTTCTTCCATTGCTTATGCATTTAAGCGTCGCAGAGAGGAGTTAGGTATATATTCCTGTCTTTTGCTGGTTGAATAGCTTGTGTTTATGTCGTACTGCGTTTTGTAGTGTTTCTTTTAATCCGTCCATCTCTTTCTTGGTCGGCATCTTGCCTTGAAACCTGCTGTTTTCCATGAATATGCTATAGCTGCTGGCTGATTTTGTTCCATTATGACCGGATGACCAAAGCACTTGATTTCTTTGATGTTCTGTGAAATCATTTAACGGTACCTCGTGTGGGTTCCGAGGCCCTATTGTTTGGGAAAACAAGAATAAATGGTAGGCACAGTACAGGTAAATCTTCTTCTTTGTGTTCACCGGCTGTAAACTCTGGTGAAAAACTTTGGATGTTCGCCCACCTCCGGACTTTACTCTTGCCCCAGAACCAGAGTGTGGCGTGCACATTCGTTTCACAAATTGGTTTATTTGTATGCAGACTTGTGGTCCTTTGCCTCTCAGGCAGATGTACTCCAACTTCAAAGGATGTCTTAAATTAGTCGACTCCTAATATTCTTGTTTGCGCCCTCCGTGGCTTAGGCGTTGCGAGTCCGTCTCGTAATTCCAACATACCGCGATCGAAACCCACTGCTGGCTGCGTGGATTTTTATCATGGTATGGGGCGTTGCAGGTCGACCCAGCCTAAAATGAGTACCATGTTGGCTGTATAGACGGCCGACGTAATGCTGACCACATTACCCACCTAATGTCCCATATACCCGATACGCCTAAGAGCGTGATGAAGGATCTTTAGTTTACTACTATTGGTTAATTCTGACTGATTGTTTTGCACAATATATCGAACAGTAACACTTTTATGAATTATTGTCATATGTATACACACAGTATACCTCATAGTATAACTGTAAGAACAACAGAAGCAATGACAGTTTGTTGCCTCATCTCATCAGGTGTCAAACAGGGATGTGCCCTCTCACCATTTCCACTGCATTACTTACATTGATAGAATTATGCATGAGGCAGACAGACACTCAGAAAGTCAATAAACTTTTTTAGCAGATGATCAGTATTTAATATACTACCACAAGCATAATTTACAAAACCCTGTTGACTCTGACATCCAACCTGCATAAAGTATGATATAGGAATAAATAACGTGACAACTGAGGAAATGTAGACAAGCAGGGAACAGAATAACACGAATGTTCATGTTAACAGTACAACAATCAAACAATTATGAGAAATCAAATATCTAGGATGCATAGTTACAAAAGATGGCAGATTTGATAGAGAGATAGAAACCAAAGTACAGAAGGCAAATGCTGTCACCTACCAGTTAGCCCCACTGCTTTAACACGCAAATATCTTTTTTAGTTATCCATTAACTTGCCGTCCTTTTTAGGATTATATTTTTCGTTTTTTGAAGCCCTACTCTGGCTCATGCCAGAGGCCACAATATAGCCCGTATCTAGGACCTCTCCACTGGTGATCCTCGTCCACATGGTGGCACTTTGTGTAATCGGGTGTTTATCGCTTGTGTGATTTCCTGGTGGTGTAGAAAGTAGGTCAGTCGATGTCTTTTTTTTTTCCCGTGCAAATCATCAATGATTAATAGCATCTTCATCTCTACTTTATGTTATCAGTGCTAGACATGGACAATGAATAGGCACCAGAACAGAAATTAGCTACAGGAAATATGCACTTTCGCCGTAAGGTCACTAACAACACAAAAAAGACAGGGTTACGAATACCAGCATTAGAAAGAAAGTTGGAATAAGACCATG